TCCTACAGTAAGAAAAATTTACATAAGAAAATCTGTTTAAGTTTTTTACAGTTAGAGCAGTAAGCATAAAATAGGTATCATAAAATATGTATTGAAAAACCCTAATGATTAAAATAAAGTTTTATTTTTTCTTTAGATATGATTTATCTAAAATAGAATAATCGATGTAAAATCTTACATAAATGAAATAAAATGTAAATAATTTATTGATTACCAACCTGAAAACCACTTTTGAGACAAGTTTCCAATAGAATTTTTGGAGACTTCAACAACAAACGACGAACCCAAAACGTTTAAAATTAAAACGTGAGTAGGTATGCCCAATTTTAACCATTATTTTAATGAAGTGATTTCTGTCTAAAAATAATACAAAAAAATTGCACCGAAAATGTACCTATTAAAAAACAAGGGTTCAAAATAGGCGTTTGTAGCCTTCTTTCGCTGATTTATTTATTTTAATCTTTTTTGAAAACTACGTTACTAGTTTTTTTATTAAAGTGGTGGCAACTTCAAAATGAGAGACAAACCTAAAATTTCTAAAATAGATATTTAAAACAGAAATAATTAGAAAATCTTACTATTTTGTGTTCGTGCTAAAACATTAAATCAAGAAATAATCCAAGTCTCCTGAACTCTTGAAGAAGCAAATAATCTATTTTACAAATGAGCAACCCTTCAAGAGCCAATTATATTCAAAGAGAACAACTTTTGACAAAGATTTATTGGTGGATATAGTGTTCAACTCTCTAAAATTACACAACAATGCAAACATAAATAGAAATCTAATTTTTCCGCGAAGCTTTTACTTTGAAACATTTATTTTTCCCATTATCCAACCCAGCAGGAAATGTCAAATGTCAAATGCTTGTTTTATTGACATTTTGGGTCCACGTGTTTTTAATTAGCTAAAATTTCAGCCACAAGTTTGCAAATTTTAACCTCAAACTTGATAATAGAACAAGATTTTAATATAACAATAATTTTTCTTGTCAGCATTTCCATGTTTCTGTCAATAGATCAAATTGATTTGTGTTGTTGGAGAAAATTAATGATTCAATTATGAATGCTAATGCCCCGGACTAATGGGAAATTCAGCCCACAACTGAAACCTTCATTTCTCCTATATGTCAGCTTTGTACCAACAAATTGCATTTGATCCAATTAAAACTAATTAATAAATTAATTAATATTTTTAATTAACGTAAAGTCGACTTGTTTAGTAGACATCACATTCCGAATTTTCCACGGCATATAAATAAGTTTGTAATTAAATTTGATTAGTTGTAATTACTCGGCTTTGCGTAATATGGTTGGAAAAAATGTTTTTTAAACAATTTAATATTATTATTACTGCATTAGTGTTGTGCTTATTTCGGTCAGTCGGAGTGCAATTCCGACAATAAAACTGCAATCAGCGCTTCTCGGAAAAGCTCGCTGACCGCAAAATCTCTAAGAAATCGTCACAAAGCGCTTAATTGCCGTATTAATCGAAGACATGTTTTATCTCGTGTTTAAATTAACCTCGCGTTAATTTGCATCTATAATGTTAAAGGTAAATTAATTTGACGGCATTAATGTAAATGAGAAGTTGCTCGGTGCGCCTTCGGCCACGACAACGTAACGAGATTTCATATGGTTTTACACAATGGATTGAATTTAATTGAATCGGTCGGCTTTTTACGCTCAACAAGAATTAAATCGCTCAGCCGAGACCGAGCTCTATCGGACGGTTTTAATATTTATGTTGTGTCTTCTTTCGTTGCGAGAAACTACATCAGGAAGAGCTTTTTTACACACAGGAAACCGTTCTAGGCTAAATCACTGTCACGAGTTCGGGTTTTGCGGTCCAACGAGTAAATTATTCAATGGTCGGGTTGCTACTACGGCAATTTTCTCTCCCGCTGAATTGCCACAATAACAAAAATTTTCAACAATTTGTTGCGAAACAATGCAACTTTCGGAGACTTGAACACCGGATCAGGCGACAAACCCACAATTTTCAAAGCGATTTTAATTACGACTTGGTTGAAACAGATAATTCTTAATAATAATAAACTAGAAAAAACTACAAAAAGAAATTTCAACTTGCGTTTTTAGTAAAAAACTGGAGACTTCAACGACAAGTAACAATAATATCGCAATTTGTGCTTCTGCTCAGCTGTGCTATTACTGCAGTACATAATTAAACATGTCAGCTCTGACAACTTTTTCGAAGAGACCTAATATTAAGTAATTAAATAAGAAATCTACTTATACTTTAGGAAGTTAATAAAACTTTATTTATACATTTCATTTTTAAATTAAAAAACAAAATACTCCACAAAATAGAATTTTCTTTCACAATTTTTGCTACATTACCGATAAGTATGGTTAAGGTTTTTGATTTTAGTAAGTTTTTGGAGTTGAAATTCTAAATTTGTAATAAATTCTATTTTTCAGTTAAAAAAAACCGCAATTATTTGGATTAAATTCTGCAATTTGAGGCTATTTATTTCTGTTAGAAAAATAATTTGCAAGCTTTTTTTGCTGCAGGCTATCAACAAAGAAAACAAAGAAGCCGTATCCTGCATTGTAACTATGTTTAACTTTATTTGTGACTTTTATTCATAACGTTTTTGCACTTTCACTCAATAATTATGAAAAAACATGTACAAGATATTGGTAAAAAAAACACAAATAAAAAGGTCAAATGTCAAAAATTTTGTTTAAACATTTTTTTATGTTCCTGGTATTTTATCTTACTCGATATTTTTCTCTGGGGCGCGAGTTATGAACCACTCTGTATACCATAAGTTTTACAATTTTTTACAAAATCAAAATTTCTGTAGGTGCAATTATTTTGGTTTGATGAAAACCTTTTGAATTAAAACAATTAAACAAAATAGTGAATTTCCCGATGTTTATTAATCAAACAAATGACGCTTGCTGCAATTACATTAATTGAAATAATTGTCATTTGCTACATAAATTGGCGACTTTTGTATTGTAATAACAGGTAGCTAATTAGTAATTAACAATTTTTATTTATTGAGCAATTAAGGCTAATCAAATTTAATGACGATTCACTTAAAAACGGAACAAAAAGCAAAAATCGATCAACAAGTTTGGTGGTAAAAAAGTGCGGTTGGTGTTCATTTGTCACTTGTCATATTATCAAATTATCTGTCGTAAATTACGTCCCCGAGATTATGTTTAGGATTAATACGTCAAAGGCCACTTTGTTTTATCTCTTACTCATAGGAAAATTTCAATAAAAATAGCTATGGTATGTTAACGGTCGCGCTAACTGTAATTATCTGTCATTATTTAATAATTTAATTAAGTTTTGTTGGTTCACCGTGTATCCAAGACCAGTTAATTAACTCTCTCGGAAGTGTCGATTTTTCGTATTGTCGGGCATTAATTAGAAATAAATGGAGCAAAACCGAGTAACAGTGTTAAGGGAATTTAGAAGAAACGCCGCCGATACTTGTAAATCATGTAAGCGATTAGCGTCCTAGGGTAATTACATTAACGTCTTGTGTTTTTCTTTGGCGTCCGTTATAGATTTTTATAGCACTCTAAATTGACAGAAAAACAGGAATCCCGCAGTGTCGGCCCAACATTTCGCCGGGCATTATTTAGTCGGATGCGTGATCGTAGAAGGCAGGTGTCAGATAAACTAGTCCGGCTTGATCGACTTTTTAAAGCACAGATCTCTTCATAAAATACGACTTTAATTTAACTTAAACGGGGTTTGTGCATAATTCAACTTTTATGACCGGAATATATGAAGGGTTTATTGCGGGCCTCGCATGACTCGCCGTAATTCCGAATTAGGCGATAAATTTTAATTAATTTTATCGATTGATGCGTGGCGTTTTTCGCCAAAAAGAATACGGCTAATTGATGCGACAATTACGTGCCATTACTGACGCACTTCCTCGGAACGCTGATAGCGTAATTACACTAATTAAAAAGCCTACTGCTTACCCGCATTGACGATTCCACCACCGTTTGGGTTACGCGCTTATTACTGACCCCAGTGCATTGAAGTCTCCAACAATTTTATTCAATACTCAAACAAAACATAATAAATAATGCAAATTTTACCGCCACATTTAGAGTAACCATCAAACAAATACGTGATAAATGTTTCAGCTTTCAGTTATTTTTCAAAATACTTGCAACGAAGCAACAATTCAAAAATTAAATGTCTAACTGATATTATTTTTAATACCTAATTAGCACCTTTTTTCATAATTAGCAAAGTTTGAAAACTTTCTGTAATATACAAACCGTGTTTTTGTTCAGAAATTATGGAGACTTCAACAACAAGCGACGAACCCACGACTTATAAATGATTTAAATTAGAAAGTAAAACTCTCTTTACACATTTATTATAAACTCTGCAAAATCTACGTAACGCAATATTAACACTTTGGACTTTTCTGTAAGTTGTGTCACTGGTTTTTGGCAAAAATTTTGGAAACTTCAACAACAGGCGACGAACCCACAATTTTTCTACTTTGAAAGTAATAAAACGGAACAATTTCGGTCCAATTATTATAAACCGTTTGCAGGTTACTAATCAGTGTGTGATGTAGTATTAATAATTGTGAAATTTGTCTGCCTTGTGTTGGTCGTTTTTGGAAAAAAATCGGAGACTCGAACGGCAAGCGACGAACCCACAATTCCTAAAATTCCTCAATTTTCGCGTAATTGGAGTTTATTGCGCCGTACCGCCTACTTGATCTTTATAGTCAATTAATTCCGTTAACATTCGCCCGTAATGAACTCATAAAACTGGTTCACTTATTGAGATGTGACAACAGTGCGCATTCGGAGTAAATAAACTAATTGTCGAATGCCTGTCCGCATCAAGTTTTTCATCGACATTGCGCGCATTATTCCGGGTATCAAGTCTTCCTTTTGTCCGTCCGTTGGTTCTTTGTAAAAAAGTTAATTACATAAATAGGCATAATCCCGCTCTAATCCCACCGGTTTTAATCCTGTTGCAGAACCTGTCGCGTCCGATAGGAACCCCGAAGTGATGGGAGTCTCTGAAGAGGTCACGCCGAACGCCGGAGTCGAGCCGCGACCTCCGGGCCCGGACAACAGCGACGGAAGCGACCCGGAGCCGGACGAGTTCGCCCCCAAGAGGAAGCAGAGGCGGTACAGGACCACGTTCACCAGCTACCAGCTGGAGGAGCTGGAAAAAGCCTTTTCAAGGACGCACTACCCGGACGTGTTCACCAGGTGAGTCCGGGGAAATGAAGAAATTAGATCGCGTGTTTGGTAATTTCCCGAAATTAACTAACGGTAATTGGGGTAATCGGCGGTGGGCATCACGCACGAAATCGATTATTTACCATTTAATGGGAATCCGATGGTCGGACGGAAACGTACGCTTGGAAGCAGTTCGACCGGAACAACGGACAGGTGGTTAGGGTTAGTGGCTTCAGGGGCGACGATTTATCGATGTTGAGAGAATGAAAACGTCGCCGAAGAGATAAGCTCGGGTGTCCGTCGCGGGCGGCATTCCTAAATGTCTGCAATTTGTCGATACAAATAAAGGTACGGCCGAGGACATTCCGGACGGGTAGTGGAGTCGTAAAAAATCATCTGCTCTATTGGAAGCGATCCAAACAACGGTTGATGGATTTTTTGTTGGGTTCATTAGTGATACTTTATAAATTCTGATTAAGTCGTTAAAAAACAGCAACAATTTTTATTTTTATCAATGTCTCTATTGTTACAGAGAGGAACTTGCAATGAAGATAGGGCTAACAGAAGCTAGAATACAGGTAAAAATATTTGCCTTGTTATTATTTTCATATTCGCAATATTTTAAAATTTTGTTGATGTTGGGTTCGTCGCTTATTATTGTTGAAGTCTCCTGATTTTTGCCAAAAATAAGTGACTTTAAATTATAAATCATTAATATTACAATATGTACTTGGACTTCCGTAGCATTATTGAAATAGTTTCCAATAAATATCTAATTTTGTTTTTAATTGTGACTTTATCGCTTGTCAATGAAAACAGGTGACAGTAGTATTATTCAAGTCTAAATTGTTAATTAGTAGAATAGAAAAGAATTGTAATTCAGAATTTAAAAATTATAAAAATTGTGAATTTGTCACTTATTGTTAAAGTTTCTGACAATTATCCACAACTACCTATACAGTTAGGTACTTACATGTTTCTAGTAGAGAACTTTGAAACTTTGTTGTAAGATAATTGCTATTGTTTCAGTTGTAGTTATCAGAATTCTCGTATGGAAGCAAATCTCTAATTTTCAGGAAATAAAAATCAATTCGTTAATTAAATTTATATTATAAAATTTGGAACTTCTCTAGCTACATAATTTTTTAAAAGCTCAATCATAATTTTTATTGTTTCAAGCTTAACATAGGTTTGGAAAATTGTTTTCACGTAGAAAATATTGGAGACTTCAACAATAAGCGACGAACCCACAATCGTAGAAAAAAGTAAACATCAAAATCATTATTTGAAAAAATTAATAATGGATTTTCTAATTGCAATTATATATTTAGATAAAAACGGTTTTTGTCTTGTTTTTTGTTTAAATAATTAATAGGTAATAAAACTTTTATGTGTGTCAGATTTTCTAAACATTAAAGTTTACAACACTAAACTTTATTGTCTAATAAACAACCAGCAAGTAGGTGGTTATTAAATGAATTAATTTTAAAAGGAAATGGCAAGAATAAAAAAATTAATCGTACTTAGAGTGTGTCACTCCAAATTATAAAATTCCTTGCATATAAATCACTCAAGCGTTCTGATTGATTTTTTCCCTCGAAAAAATCTTTTAAATACAGTTACTTTCATTCAATTACTAACAGTTATTATAAATATTCATCGACCATGACCTTGACCACTATAATAATCCTGCAATAAAGTAGGCATTGTCATAACATCACCATCAACGAAACGACTCTGCCACTTTGTATCTCGCAGCAGGAGTCGTCATTCTTCTCTTTTAGCAGTAAACAGCCCTAAAATCGCAATTTTAACATGAAAAAATCAATTAATGGTTGTAGTGGCGACCGGAAAAATCGCAGTTCGGAGTACGAATTGTCAGAAGAATTAAGAATTCTTCCTAGAAACGATGGCTTTAATTTAATCTTCGTCGTCCATAAATCGTAATGGAGTTGTAATTTCCGACCATCGGCCAACATTGTTGATTTAAGTTAATTTAATTTCCTTTTCGAGTCGTGCTTTCCGATCAATTATCGTAATTACGTTTGTAATTGAGCGGCTGTCGTTTTTTGCAAAAATTAGCGTTATTATAAATTTACATGACCTTAGTTTAATTATTCGAATTATTTTTCGTTGTGCAACGAGGTGGTGCCGCTCTTCGCACTCAGAGATCGCGCGGTGAAAAAAATCTAATTGCTTTGTTTATCGTTTGAACGTTTTTTGTACTGTTATTTAATTAAATATGAGTAATCGAATTAAGTAAATTGCCGCAAACCGTTAAAGCTAACTTCTGGTTTGAAATTATTTACATGGAATAATCTGCATTCAATCAATCTGGATTGGTTGCATGCTGCATGTATTAATTGGGTAATTAAGTCGGGAATTTTAATCAAAATTATTTATAAGATCATTAAAACGCGTCTCTCTCTTCGGACAACTGTGGGAATGCCATTTTTGCAATATGTTTTCAATTCCCTCAAAGTCAATTTAAATTCAACTAAATCTAACTGATTTTATCAGAATTTGAATTAAAAGATATATTTTTTTGCAACTGTACAGGGTGCTGCATTTTGGATGTCCGAATAGGGAATCTCCGAAACTAAGAGGTTTAGCCATACTCGTACATTCTGGGACTCATATTTTGAGAAAATAATATTGGTGAAAACCCATCTCGCTATCGTCTTTTGTTTTCGACTTACAGACAAAAGTTGACATTTTGACGAAATCTAAAAAAATTCATATCTTCGCTATTATGGAAGATACGGATTTGAAATAAAGACATTATACAGGCACTTTTTTACGAGGAATTTAATAACGTAGTTAACAATTTTTTTCAATTATTAGTTTAGCCGTAATAAGATAAACTTGTATTTTTTTAAATGGAAATCATAGGCGGCTATGGCAATTTTGAAAAGCTTATTTTTTTCTGATCTAAAAAATATATCTTTGTAACAGAATACTTTTTTATAACTATACTTAAAAACTAAAATACATATTTTGTTTGATAATAGTTGGCCATGGAAAAACTCTTTCATTCCAAATGTGTAAATAATAATCAATAAGAGTTTTGTGAACTGTAAAATAGATGAAAAAATATATAGAATTATAAAAATTTTAAAAATACGATACGTTAGAAGTATTGAATAAATATGCGAGCGCCTCAGAACATATTTTTAAGAAATCCAAAAATAGGAAAAACAAATGTATCAGCAGTCAACACAATTAGAAAAAACATTTTTTTGATGATCTAATTGAGGTAGGATAACGTTCCACATAGACGGAATTTGGGTATTTGAATAGCCATATCGTCATTTTTGTCATATAAAATATATTTTTTTGAAGAATTAAAGCGGCTTTTTTTACAACACTATGTATGACCAGAAGTTACAATGGTAATGTAAGCTTGTTTAAAAACAACGAAATGTTATTAGTCGCCAATAAGTTGATTTACGATTTATTTTGCATTTTTTTCGTTACTTAGTTCTTAGAAAACTCTTTCATTAGTGAGACTGGTTGAATAATATAGTTTAAATCCTTTTAGTTGAAGATGCAACATTTTTTCATGGCCAACTGCGAACAAAAATCAAAGATAATTTTTTGCTGTTACAAATATATATTTTTAGATAAGAAAAAAACAAGCTTTCTAAAAATGACATAGCCATCTATGATTCCCATTTAAAAAAATACAAGTTTATTTTACTACGGCTAAACCAATAACTGAAAAAAAATGTTAACCACATTATTAAATTCCTCGTAAAAAAGTGCAATGTAAAAAGTATAATGTTTTTATTTCAAATCCGTATCTTCTATAATAACGAAGATATGAATTTTTTTAGATATCGCCAAAATGTCAACTTTTGTCTGTAAGTCGAAAACAAAAGACGATAGCGGGATGCGGTTTTAACCAATATTATTTTCTCAAAAAATGAGCCCCAGAATGTATCACTCGTTTTTGATAAACCTTTTAGTTTCGGAGATTCCCTATTCGGACATCCAAAATGCAGCACCCTGTACAGGGTGTGTTCCCAATATTTTCTAGATAAATATGTCTGCTATTAATAAAGAAAAAGCAATATACAAATTTTTACTCTCAAATCTTATTCAAAAACGCAAATAATATAAATTAAGTTATACATACCTACCTAGGTATATTAAATATTATAAAACTGATTTTTAGTAATTCATTTCATTTACAACAAACTTTATTATTATTTTTTTATTTTTATGATAAACTCTGTATTCAAGTCACATGGAAAAAAACAGAGACAATAAAATGCAACAGAAAAGTTTAAAGATGTTTAAAAATGGGTAGTTTGTGATAAAAAAAAACAAAACCAAGAAAAAACACTATTGATTCAAACTAAAAATCATAATAAAATTATGTTAATTTTTTGCCAATTTAATTTTAATATTCTGTCATAATTAGATGTGATTAAAATATAAATAATTTTTTCCTGTCAAAATAAATGAATAAAACTATAAATAGGAAAACATATTGAAATTAATTGCGGTGAAAATGTGTAAATTTTACAAATTACAATCTAATTGACCTTTGGTAATGACGAAACAGCTTATTCTTGACAGGTGAGAATTACATAATTTTTTTAGCCATAAAAGATTGATAACCGGCTAATAAAAATTGAAATTTTATAACGTCATTGAAAAACTAGTTTATTTAACGGAAATTCCGGAAACGATTAGATGATGTTTGTCAACAGTGAATTAGCTTTCTGAAAAACTTTTCTGGTATCGAGTGTTGATGAATCATTCAGATTTGCACACAATGAAGACGTCCGCACGTCAAAAACAATGAATCGTACTAAGTTATAACCTTCAGAAAGCAAGCACAATTCTTGTGAAATAGAGACATGTAATTTATTTAATTAAGCCTAATCGCTCAAGTCCGTGACTGTAGTACACTCGGTGTCCGAAAAAAGTCGACAAAAAATCCGACTGAAATGAGTCGCTTCCTCCGGTACTGTGTCATTTCAACGCAACAGGTGTCCGACCCTCTCGCTCCCTCCCAAGCTGCCTAATAATACCTTCATCCTTGCCCAATTCCCATAAACAATAAAAAAAGACACTAACTTATCATTAGCATTCGGCGAAAAAAACAACCACCCGCAATACTGTTCTCTCTCGCTTTCCTTGTGTGTGAGCGAGATGAGTGATTGAAATAATGAGAAATAATTGCGCCAGCGAGGGAAATAAATGGATATCAATTACTCGGACGTTTAGGTACGCAATTGTCTTCCATAAATCGAATTAGCGGCACTTTGGATTGCGTCGATTGAATGAGATTTGGGAGAAAAACGAGGCAATTACGAGAAGACGATATCATTAGCGCAGGTAGCTATTGTTGGCTTTTTTCCAATTTATCGGCGTGCTGCGATCTTTGTCAGTTTTATAAATGTACAATGGCCGAGCGTGAAATCCGGCAATCGCTTGAAAATAAGCTGTTCCATAACTCATTATAAATTTGTTTTGTTGAATTTCGTTCGCTGCGAAGCGAGTCACGCACCGACGGACATCACCACGAAAAACTCCACATTTTTACGCCGGAGGTGTGACAGAAACC